AAACGTTACAAGAAGGTAGAATCTATTGAGTTGTAAGTGATCTGAACGTTTCATGATGATCGCACATTCCTATAGGGGGTCAAACCATGTCCCAAAGGTCACCGGGCCTGGTGTCACTTTAAAGAAGTAGTCCAGTTACACATTTGTGGGCTTATAACTTGGCTTCTGAATGTCCTAGAGAGATCAGGTTTGTTTTAGTGTACTCCAATCAACAGCCCCTACAACCACAAAAAGGAATGGAGTCATTAGCACTTATGGTTTGTAAATGGCATCCAGAATTATGTTGCACAAAGCACAATTTCACATCATTCTGGGTCCATTTGTATGAAAACAAGGTCCAATCAGGCTGAAACGTTACAAGAAGGTAGAATCTATTGAGTTGTAAGTGATCTGAACGTTTCATGATGATCGCACATTCCTATAGGGGGTCAAACCATGTCCCAAAGGTCACCGGGCCTGGTGTCACTTTAAAGAAGTAGTCCAGTTACACATTTGTGGGCTTATAACTTGGCTTCTGAATATCCTAGAGAGGTCAGGTTTGTTTTAGAGTACTCCAATTAACAGCCCCTACAACCACAAAAAGGACTGGAGTCATTAGCACTTATGGTTTTTAAATGGCACCCAGAATTATGTTGCACGAAGCACAATTTCACATCATTCTGGGTTCATTTGTGTGAAAACAAGGTCCAATCAGGCTGAAACGTTACAGGAAGGTAGAATCTATTGAGTTGTAAGTGATCTGAACGTTTCATGATGATAGCACTTTCCTAAGGGGGTCAAACCATGTCCCAAAGGTCACCGGATCTGGTGTCAATTTAAAGAAGTAGTCCAGTTACACATTTATGGGCTTATAACTTGGCTTCTGAATGTCCTAGAGAGATCAGGTTTGTTTTAGTGTACTCCAATCAACAGCCCCTACAACCACAAAAAGGAATGGAGTCATTAGCACTTATGGTTTGTAAATGGCACCCAGAATTATATTGCACAAAGCACAATTTCACATCATTCTAGGTCCATTTGTGTGAAAACAAGGTCCAATCAGGCTGAAATGTTACAAGAAGGTAGAATCTATTAAGTTGTAAGTGATCTGAACGTTTCATGATGATCGCAAATTCCTATAGGGGGTCAAACCATGTCCCAAAGGTCACCGGGCCTGGTGTCACTTTAAAGAAATAGTCCAGTTACACCTTTGTGGGCTTATAACTTGGCTTCTGAATATCCTAGAGAGGTCAGGTTTGTTTTAGAGTACTCCAATCAACAGCCCCTAAAACCATAAAAAGGAATGGAGTCATTAGCACTTATGGTTTGTAAATGGCACCCAGAATTATGTTGCACGAAGCACAATTTCACATCATTCTGGGTTCATTTGTGTGAAAACAAGGTCCAATCAGGCTGAAACGTTACAAGAAGGTAGAATCTATTGAGTTGTAAGTGATCTGAACGTTTCATGATGATCGCACATTCCTATAGGGGGTCAAACCATGTCCCAAAGGTCACCGGGCCTGGTGTCACTTTAAAGAAGTAGTCCAGTTACACATTTGTGGGCTTATAACTTGGCTTCTGAATATCCTAGAGAGGTCAGGTTTGTTTTAGAGTACTCCAATTAACAGCCCCTACAACCACAAAAAGGACTGGAGTCATTAGCACTTATGGTTTTTAAATGGCACCCAGAATTATGTTGCACGAAGGACAATTTCACATCATTCTGGGTTCATTTGTGTGAAAACAAGGTCCAATCAGGCTGAAACGTTACAAGAAGGTAGAATCTATTGACTTGTAAGTGATCTGAACGTTTCATGATGATCGCACATTCCTATCGGGGGTCAAACCATGTCCCAAAGGTCACCGGGCCTGGTGTCACTTTAAAGAAGTAGTCCAGTTACACCTTTGTGGGCTTATAACTTGGCTTCTGAATGTCATAGAGAGATCAGGTTTGTTTTAATGTACTCCAATCAACAGCTCCTACAACCACAAAAAGGAATGGAGTCATTAGCACTTATGGTTTTTAAATGGCACCGAGAATTATGTTGCACGAAGCACAATTTCACATCATTCTGGGTCCATTTGTGTGAAAACAAGGTCCAATCAGGCTGAAACGTTACAAGAAGGTAGAATCTATTGAGTTGTAAGTGATCTGAACGTTTCATGATGATCGCACATTCTTATAGGGGGTCAAACCATGTCCCAAAGGTCACCGGGCCTGGTGTCACTTTAAAGAAGTAGTCCAGTTACACATTTGTGGGCTTATAACTTGGCTTCCGAATGTCCTAGACAGATCAGGTTTGTTTTAGTGTACTCCAATCAACAGCCCCTACAACCACAAAAAGGAATGGAGTCATTAGCACTTATGGTTTGTAAATGGCATCCAGAATTATGTTGCACAAAGCACAATTTCACATCATTCTGGGTCCATTTGTATGAAAACAAGGTCCAATCAGGCTGAAACGTTACAAGAAGGTAGAATCTATTGAGTTGTAAGTGATCTGAACGTTTCATGATGATCGCACATTCCTATAGGGGGTCAAACCATGTCCCAAAGGTCACCGGGCCTGGTGTCACTTTAAAGAAGTAGTCCAGTTACACATTTGTGGGCTTATAACTTCGCTTCTGAATATCCTAGAGAGGTCAGGTTTGTTTTCGAGTACTCCAATTAACAGCCCCTACAACCACAAAAAGGACTGGAGTCATTAGCACTTATGGTTTTTAAATGGCACCCAGAATTATGTTGCACGAAGCACAATTTCACATCATTCTGGGTTCATTTGTGTGAAAACAAGGTCCAATCAGGCTGAAACGTTACAGGAAGGTAGAATATATTGAGTTGTAAGTGATCTGAACATTTCATGATGATAGCACTTTCCTAAGGGGGTCAAACCATGTCCCAAAGGTCACCGGATCTGGTGTCAATTTAAAGAAGTAGTCCAGTTACACATTTATGGGCTTATAACTTGGCTTCTGAATGTCCTAGAGAGATCAGGTTTGTTTTAGTGTACTCCAATCAACAGCCCCTACAACCACAAAAAGGAATGGAGTCATTAGCACTTATGGTTTGTAAATGGCACCCAGAATTATATTGCACGAAGCACAATTTCACATCATTCTAGGTCCATTTGTGTGAAAACAAGGTCCAATCAGGCTGAAATGTTACAAGAAGGTAGAATCTATTATGTTGTAAGTGATCTGAACGTTTCATGATGATCGCAAATTCCTATAGGGGGTCAAACCATGTCCCAAAGGTCACCGGGCCTGGTGTCACTTTAAAGAAGTAGTCCAGTTACACCTTTGTGGGCTTATAACTTGGCTTCTGAATATCCTAGAGAGGTCAGGTTTGTTTTAGAGTACTCCATTTAACAGCCCCCATTACCACAAAAAGGAATGGAGTCATTAGCACTTATGGTTTTTAAATGGCACCCAGAATTATGTTGCACGAAGCACAATTTCACATCATTCTGTGTTCATTTGTGTGAAAACAAGGTCCAATCAGGCTGAAACATTACAAGAAGGTAGAATCTATTGAGTTGTAAGTGATCTGAACGTTTCATGATGATCGCACATTCCTATAGGGGGTAAAACCATGTCCCAAAGGTCACCAGGCCTGGTGTCACTTTAAAGAAGTAGTCCAGTTACACCTTTGTGGGCTTATAACTTGGCTTCTGAATGTCCTAGAGAGATCAGGGTTGTTTTATTGTACTCCAATCAACAGCCCCTAAAACCACAAAAAGGAATGGAGTCATTAGCACTTATGGTTTGTAAATGGCACCCAGAATTATGTTGCACGAAGCACAATTTCACATCATTCTGGGTCCATTTGTGTGAAAACAAGGTCTAATCAGGCTGAAACGTTACAAGAAGGTAGAATCTATTGAGTTCTAAGTGATCTGAACGTTTCATGATGATCGCACATTCCTATAGGGGGTAAAACCATGTCCCAAAGGTCACCGGGCCTGGTGTCACTTTAAAGAAGTAGTCCAGTTACACATTTGTGGGCTTATAACTTGGCTTCTGAATGTCCTAGAGAGATCAGGTTTGGTTTAGTGTACTCCAATCAACAGCCCCTACAACCACAAAAAGGAATGGAGTCATTAGCACTTATGGTTTGTAAATGGCACCCAAAATTATGTTGCACGAAGCACAATTTCACATCATTCTGGGTCCATTTGTGTGAAAACAAGGTCCAATCAGGCTGAAACGTTACAAGAAGGTAGAATCTATTGAGTTGTAAGTGATCTGAACGTTTCATGATGATCGCACATTCCTATAGGGGGTCAAACCATGTCCGAAAGGTCACCGGGCCTGGTGTCACTTTAAAGAAGTAGTCCAGTTACACATTTGTGGGCTCATAACTTGGCTTCTGAATATCCTAGAGAGGTCAGGTTTTTTTTCGAGTACTCCATTTAATAGCCCCCATTACCCCAAAAAGGAATGGAGTCATTAGCACTTATGGTTTTTAAATGGCACCCAGATTTATGTTGCACGAAGCACATTTTCACATCATTCTGGGTTCATTTGTGTGAAAACAAGGTCCAATCAGGCAGAAACGTTACAGGAAGGTAGAATCTATTGAGTTGTAAGTGATCTGAACGTTTCATGATGATATCACTTTCCTAAAGGGGTCAAACCATGTCCCAAAGGTCACCGGATCTGGTGTCAATTTAAAGAAGTAGTCCAGTTACACATTTGTGGGCTTATAACTTGGCTTCTGAATGTCCTAGAGAGATCAGGTTTGTTTTAGTGTACTCCAATCAACAGCCCCTAACACCACAAAAAGGAATGGAGTCATTAGCACTTATGGTTTGTAAATGGCACCCAGAATTATGTTGCACGAAGCACAATTTCACATCATTCTGGGTCCATTTGTGTGAAAACAAGGTCCAATCAGGCTGAAACGTTACAAGAAGGTAGAATCTATTGAGTTGTAAGTGATCTGAACGTTTCATGATGATCGCACATTCCGTTAGGGGGTCAAACCATGTCCCAAAGGTCAACGGGCCTGGTGTCACTTGGCTCTCAGGGTTGATTCCCAGGAAGCACCTGTTAAAAAAGCAAAGATAGTTTCAGTTGATATGAGATTAATGACTCTGGTTCACCCTCCAAAACATTAATTGGTGAAAAATGCATCTTTTTATGTTGAGTGCCACCCGCCAAATAACACACAAGAAAAGGAAGAAGAGTGTTGTTGCACAGTTTTCAAAGGAGTCAAAAACCTCTTGCAAAACCATAAATACAGCAAAATAAACATACAATCCAACATGGCATCCTCCAGAGTGTCGGACCCTCGCGTGTGTATATTATACCTGATTTTTATGGTTATTTGTCACAAAGTTGCTGGTATTTTTCAATGAATGGGCTTCATTTGATTCATTTTGCAAAACATTTCAACGTATAATTCCAGAAATTAATGACAAATACTACACACTGTCACTTTAAATGTGATCTTTATAAAATACCTTTGAATGAACTCCAGTGTTAACGATCCAGTGGCAGGATACTCGATGTTGAAGACGTAATAGCAGCTCAACAATGCAGCTACACCATGTAAAAAGAACGAGTGTGGGCCCATCATGACCTGTCCCTCGATGGATATCAGCCATCCAGAGGGCTTCATCATGTCACCTGAAATGAAAAGACTGATATGAGCATTTTTTTCTACTTCAGCTACAAAATTCATCTAGATTTCAAGAATGAAACAAGTTATATCAAGACAGAAATGTCAATATTGGATCAAAGTAATATTACCTTGAATGATCAAGCAGGGGGGGGTGGGAAGTTCTGCAGAACTTATGTCCACGGCAGTGGCACATGGCTGTAACATAATCACACAGCAGCATAGATTTAGGATAGAGTATAAATATTCCTCATTGGTCAAAGTTAATAAATCGTACAGTTGATAATGTAATCATTCAATTTGCATTTTAAATTTTTTAATACAAAATCTTACATCAACTTCAAGCACCAAACATTCTTTTGGCTCTTTGAAGTACAACATTAGGACCAGCAGGATGGAGGCAGCCTTATCAGAGTCTTGAGCGTAGTTGACCAGAACTTCATTGATCTTGGGATGGTCCAGTGTTGAACAGTAATCCAGGATGGTCTGTCCTCGTTGACTTATTGCCGCCTGTAGTTTCTGAAGGACGTTGATGTCCGTCAAAAGAGCAAAATGTGAGAATAGGCTTTTCTGAGAGAAGAGAAAGGGCCACCCCTCTTTGATGTCAGACATTGCTGCAGCAGGCATTTTGTTAAGGTATTGCCGGAGGATGACATATGTCTTTTCCATCATTGGTTCTGCTCTCTCCGCCCCTTTCATTCCTTCCTCTGTGTATACAGACAATAAAAATGTATTGTTAGTACCAAAGTAACAATTTGGTCTTTTTAGCTGCCGAACACACAGTTTTTAGATCTTGACCAATGAAAAAACTCCAAACAAAATAACCCAAAACAACAGTAGAAAGCCTGCCTGAGTAGATGTTCAGTAGATCCCTCTTCATCTTCATCAACGATGCCTCGGTCTCCCCCTCTGGGAAATCCACTGGGCCCCACCTGACACACCTAAGAAGGGGAATCACAGGGTAACACTACTATTAGGGACAGTTATAGCCCAGAAGTTGGAGCAATGACTAAAGGGTCCGTTTGACTCCCAGTTGTGACTGCATTAACAGACTTATGTCACAGAAGTTATGTTACAGTGTAGAAGTGTTGTAAACACTGATGTTGTTTATCCAAATAAAGCTGCAGTCCACAGTGTTTGTGTATATATTAAAGATACCTAAATCTTTCAAAAGATATTTCTCTTCAAAATTATGATTTTCTTCCTGCTATTTGAACATTCCTACTGACCGCCAAATTTTTTTGCCAACAGAATTGGAGCTTCCACCTTGTAGGCACGGGTGGCCTAAGTCACGCTCTTCTAAAAATGAGTCAAAGGAACCACTTAGCTGTGATTGGCTAAAGACAAACCATTGTAGCAAGTAGACGGACATTCGAGGGGTCCTCCAATCCGCTCAATGTTTCCTACCAGATGGCCCCCCCTCCTTCCCAACGCTGTTTGCAGCAGAGGTTCCAGATCAAAACGTGGAAACTCGACACGGGGTGGGGCAACACATACATTTAGCTGCTGCTGGGTTAGCGGTCTTTACAACACTTTTAAAATTGGCTCATGCTTGCTGGAAAAAGGTCTAAGTTAATGTCAATAAAATTTGTTTTGTTCCGTTTCTGGCTTATTCATGGTCATATACAATGCTTTTGATAAAATGTTAACAGATATTACATGTATATTGCCACATACCCGTACTGGTCAACAGGACCTCTCTCTTGTCTGATCTCTCCTGCGATTCCTATGAAGCGTTTTCTGCGGTGTCGAAGAAGAGTTTTGGTTCTGTTGTGGTACTCCACTCTTGTTTTCACTTGCTGTAGTAGAGAATAGCAGCCATCTCCTGTAGTATCACCATACTTTCCAATGTCAGCAAATGACTTTGGATGTCTCCTAAAAATGTGTGGGATTAATAGACAATTAGAAAGTAAGTAGTCAAGTAGAAAATATTGCACTATTGTTACACAACAGACATTTACAACTCATGTACTTGAAGAACCAAGTTTAACCTTCGTGTATCCTGCCGTGCGCTTTAGCACACTTGATATTTCAAGTAAGAAAAAAAAACAATGTATTCCTTCCAATTTACATTTAAAATTTTCAGAAGGTGCTAATTCTTTCCCTGATCATCCCATCCTTACCTGACAATGTTTCTCACAACGTTGTAGCACATGGCTCTGGATGGGTTTTGGTCGTGCTGCATCATTTGGTCCACAAGCGCAACCACGAAGGCCCTTCTTTCGTCTGGTAATGGTCTTTGTTGTTTTTCCACTCTACGTCGAACAGCTGATGACATCTGGTCCAAGTTGAGATGAAAGTCAACATGCCATGGTACCCCTGGCTGTGAGGCGTGTGGCGTGCTTGGAGGGCTGGACAACAGGTGATTTGGAGACTGGAGTGTTGTGTTTGGGGAACTTGGAGTTTGGGAATTTAGAGCATTTGGATCAGGAGCAGAGACCAACTCCATATTAAGAGTAACAAGTCCTAGAGGGCACAAAGAAAAATTATTTAAAGTGGAACTGAATATGGTGAAAGAAAAACTTAACCCAGCCCCCAGATACAGTTTGATAAATGCTAAAATGTGGGTTGTCCCAGGAGGCACAGAGGGGCGCGTGTTCGCTCTTGGCTGGTAATGCCCTGCCTCGAGTCCCAATCCGCTCTCGGCTGGCGGGAGACGCGCCTCTGTATGACGTCATTCGGCGTTTGTTGGGGTCGTCAGCTGCTCGCCGAATGAAAACGGAGCGTGAACATTCAAGCGGTCGAGACGGAAGTACCGCACAACAAAAAAGCCTAGATGTGAACGCAGCATAACGCCATTCTATTGGCCAAGTGTGTCCCACAGATGGCTTTATCCCCAAACCCACAAAACGTTGCTGTGAAACCAGGCCTGTGATGTATAATGGTACAAATATCATGCAATTGCACCAAAATGCAGTAGCCAATGTTCAAGCCAAAGGGGGAAGCAATTACATTTTTTTAATACAATGTGTATTGTGTACAGCTTGTGTCAAAGTTCAAAAGCCCTAGTTTAGTGACATCAAAGAGTGGAAAGAGGAAATTACCATCCTTGATTCCCTTCATCAACTTCCGACTTTGGATGGGTTTGAGGTATTTCTCCAGATCCTTTTCCTCCAACAAGGTGAGATCTTCAATAGAGTCCACTCCGAGACCATCCAGCATGGTGGTCAGAAGGCCACCAGGGAGACCAGGCAAGTATGACCACACTGCTTCCTTAACCTAGTTTCATTAAGTATTCAGTTGTGTAATTTAGCATTTTTACCATCCCTAAACTGTATTCATGTTTTCTACTATAGCCTGTTCAATAAAAAAAAATTAATAGGTGGGTTTCACATTCTGTAATTCTAATGCAGTTGGAGTGCAGGTCCCAATACAATCTTTGGGGGAAAACTGTTTTTGTAAGAAATTTCAGAAAAGAAACTGTCCTGTTTTTATTGATAAATATTTTAAAAAGTGACTGGATTCACAAAAGCGTCACATTATTTCATTGGCCGAAAGACCTTTCTACAGGTCAAAATCACACCCATTTTTTACTATTGTCTCCACTTTTGGACATCTTGATTGGAAAAGTAATTAATTGTATTTTATGTGTTGACAGAATAGACATTGAACTTTGTGACAGTTTTTGTTTTATTGACCAGGAAACTACTTAGGAATTAGCAAAAAACTAAAACTAGAAATAGGCATTTTGACTGTTATGATGGTTACTTGCAAATAATTTTTAGTTACCCTGCATACAGGATATAGAATATAAAGAGAATTTCACGTGAAACCGACCTATTAAAGATTCAAATGTATTCAAGGCTACCCAAAAAAAATATATCAGCTATGACAACATAGCCTGCTCTACTACTCACATCTCTCCTCACATATCCTGTATCCTCATTTTCACCCTTACTCATACTGCTTCTGGAAAAGAATGGTGGAGAGCAATAAGGGACTGATCATACACGTTGTATGCTGAAAGGGGATAGTAGTCGAGGAGATCTTCATGCTTAATGCACACATATTTGTCTTGGATCACTCCTTGGTCACAGTACACGCCTGTGTCACATAACTTTACAAAAGTATGTTTCTCGGAGACAAAAATGACAAGATTATGTTCAACAATAATGAGCATAATCTTCCCCATGAAAAGCCCATCATCAGTGTTCTGTAATAATACATACATCCCCCTTCTGTAATCTGTGCCTTTGACTGTAACACAGTTACAAGCTACTGCCGACTGTAACTGGAATGGACAGCTGGCAACAGATGCCCTGATCCTGTCATTGTAATCTTCAACATGGAAACAAGTCCCCTTTTCTGCTTGTACAAGTGGAGGGAACAAGTTTCCCACACTTAAGTAAGCTTGTAGATTTTGGTGCCTCTCTGCTAGAGTTTTGCACAAATTCCTGAAATTGTGCAATTTTCTGGCACACTGTTTAAAAAATGTGTGCTTGCTCTCAAACCGCAGTGTCCATAGTCGTATAAGTGGGCCAAAGTAAATGATGAGAGATGGATAGTGACACAGATAATGGTGCTTTGGTCTGAGGGGAGCATTGGGGAAAAGCCTCGTCCTGGTGACTATGTACTCCTCTATGAGGACTTTAAGATACGCAACCTGGCCCTCTGTAATCACCGGTGCACAGATGAGCCCAACAATCTCCCTGAGCTGCAAAATTATTAGCCACACCTCATTTTCGCAGGGATCTTTAATCCTGTCACCCACCATGAGTGGGAGAAGTCTAAGGAAACACCAGTTCTGAAGTGCGTGTCCACTTAGCTTGTTGCTGCTGGGAGAGAGGTCTGCTGGCTTGTCCTTACCATCATTACCTTCATATCTGAACTGGTTCTTGCACCTGTTTAACTGCAGGTATGTGAAATGATTCTCCTCAACTAAATGGCGAATATATAAGGGCAGGTCATAAGCAATGACTCCCTCAAATAAGTCATGGCCTAGACATGGTGGTAGGCCAGGCTGGCAAACATGGAAATGTGAAAGCTGATTGAAAGGAGAGTCAAACTTGATGCCACATACAGAGTCAGTGGCAGTAGTTTTCTGTTCTTGCAAGTTACATGCATATGATTGAGCTGTTCTTTTTGTACCACACAATATAGGGTTAGCCAGGAATTCATCTCTACACACCTCACAGTAGCGACAAAACCATATAGACCGACTGAAGTTCTCCAAGAATCCCCCAATAGAATGGGATCCCAGGTTGTCTCCTGCAATGGCAACTAAAGAGCCCTTTAGTACATTGCCATCAGATGTGAGGATACCTCTCTGCTCCAGAATTTTGAGGTCCTCAATCAGGGGGGCAAAAACTTTGTTTACCCCAAAATACTTAAAGTCTTGTTCCCTACATAAGAGAACAAGTTGCATCTGATCAATTGAAGATCTGTTGTAAGGCAAGATGTCAGTCAGAGTCAGGTAAACAGCTAAAACCTTGTGCTTTTTTTCCCCTGAGCCTAGGGGGTTGACAACCTCGAAAGCATCTTGGTACAGTATTAAACCAAGTGAAGAAGGGTCAGCTTTCAACACTGGATTTCTTTGAAAGCCTTCTCCATCCTTCACATCCTGATAGACAGCATCAGCAGATGGCTGTGAACGTGTCATGGTGTACTGTTCACGCAGAGACTCATTTTTGAAAAGTGTCACCAAGGTCTCGTGCATGGGAATATACTGAGCAAAACACTCCTTGTCATCATCATCATTGCCCAAGAGCAAAGGCACAGGATGAACATAGTTAAAAGATTCTTTAAAAGCAGCCTTCCTCTTTGCATCGGTATTGAGCCTTTCCCTGTTATAGAGTGAGAGTAAATCCTCTCTGTTCATTTCCTCAATGATGCTGCTTATAGTGGCCTGAGGGATTCCGAGTTCCTTTAGTTTCTCATTTAGAATGTTTAGGGAATTTGACAGGCCAAGTTCATGAGCACTTTGAAACCCATCAATGATGGTCTGAATAGTGGTTGCTGGCAAGAGTAGCTTAGATTGCATTTTTAGGTAGAAAAGTGTAAGGTTCTGGAAAAAGAGGTTTTCATCTACAACTAATGGCATTTGTGGTTCATTATGTTCCTCAGCAGGTTCTGAATATGACTGACTGGTTCCTGGCAATGGCTCTGTGGCTATAGACCTGTCTAAAACAACATCATTTAAAACTGAATCCTCAACACTCCTATGTTTTCTACAAATATGTGAAGCAAAACTGGACACGTTTGTGAATGTGCAATCACAATCCCTAAATGGACATCTTGTTTCTAATCCTCCACTTATGTGCTTCTTCAAATGCCCAATAAGAGAGGCCAAAGTGCTGCACTTAAATGCACATACCTCAACTAGACATTTTAAGGGTGCATTAGTTGGTAGGGCTGACGTGTCAGGCAGTGTACTCCCCGCAGTCTGCGGGTAAGACCTATGCTGCCTATACATATGAATTTGCAGTCCCGTGTATTTTCTGCACCTCCATGAGCAATCAGGCACTCCACACTGGTATTCATAGTTGGGGACATTGCTATGCAGTTTGGTGTGCTGAACATAGCTATGGACATTCCTAAAGACATGCTCACACCCAACCAATTTGCAGTTGAACATTGTGAAGCATGTCAACTAGTCACTTACAGTGTGTTCAGCCTCGCTCTCTGGTGATCTAGAAAGAAAATAAAGAAGAAATTACACAAAGGCAACCAACAATACAATTTTAAGTTTGCATGCACATTGTGATCATTGTAAGTAAGCCTATGTTTAAAACAGTGTACATATAATTATAAAATGTGCAGTAGAGGCAGACAGGTATACCAGGCCAATATATTAACCTTTTTTGGTATTGGCCATTGCCCGGATTTTTATATAGGCAATATTAAAATAGATAAAGGCACCTGTGTGGCCTGCTATCTTTTAAAATGTGTTACAAAATGTATTAGCATTACAATTAACAGGCATATATTGACTATAGTGAGTAGAGGGGCCACGTTTACAGATTTTTATTTTGTTTTTAACAGTTATTTCCCTATGAGAAGTAATATATTCTGTGCGAGGCAAAAGTTCAAAACCTCAAGCCAATAACTTAGCCAAATCAGACTATTAGATTTTTTTCAAAAAGAAATGAGCCTTTACATTCAATGCTGTGGAGGAACAACCAAATCAAGTACTCTTAAAATAAGCGCAAGAGTTTTATTTCATTTTTATGTTTAATTCTCTGCCCAGGTTGTTGTGACTGAATACGTAAAATGATTTTTAAAAATTAATTACATAGAATAGGCATTAATTCGTCAGACAATTGTATTTATTTATGTGTGTGTTTTCAGTAGCACTTTGAGATTTTTCTATTAATGTAAACAGTAATTTTTACAATTATTATTCATCATCAAAATGAAATAAAACACAAACAGCAATGCTCATGATTAAAACAGTAACTACCTTAGTCGCACCAGCAACAGGAACTACAAATTTGTGTGACACAGGTACAGAAGTATCAAGATGTCAGTCCAACCTAGAATACAGGCATACTCAAGTCAACACAGGGAAGCAAGGTGAAGAACACAAATTTTAGGTCAGAATGTTGTAGATAACAGTGATAAGTAGATAACCAATACTAAAAAAAACATTGCTAACAAAAAGAAACGCAGTGTTATGAGCGCCAACTAACCAGAGTGCCTTTCACTCTGTAGTTACTTTATCACACATATCTTGAATGGACTGCAGAGCAAGAGGAAACCATAGCCAAGGATTAGATAAGTTTTCCTTCATTGTCCCACAGTTTTGAAATTTGTGTATGAAAGTATGAGCAGTGGAGTAGCAGAAGCAGTTAAAGAACAATAAAACAAGTATTTAAGAAAAGAAAGCACTCGGGTATATCTGGGAGTAGTATCTAAATAGGTTGAGAATTCCAGATGAATGTGGCGGCAACAGTGAAAATGTGGATGATAAATAGTGGAAATAGCAGCAGTGATCTCGAAGTCGGTAGTTACAAACACAAATACACCAATCTGTGTAAAATAACAGAGGGATTATTCAGTTATGATTAAACGAGGTGAGTCAGTAATAATCAAAGTGAGTCTGATGTGCAGAATATATTAGTCATTCATTGTGCAGATATGACAGCTGGATTATTAATTATAGTGTGCAAAAATGACAGTACATTGGTTATACTTGCAATCAAATCAAATAAGATAATGAGTACAGTCAAAGTTCACACCCTGACAGAGATTTCTAAGGATGAGTGAGTACAGCATTATCTGTATCTGTTAACCATATTAATTATCTGTATCTTGAAAATATATGTAACTCTCATATAAGCTCTTTTATTATTCATTGTTATATGATACTTTTTTCATTATGGAATCATGTTATAATATCAAAGGCCTCTCTGTGCTTCTCTCCTGCATGAGCTCTAAACAGCTGCAGGAACTCCAAAAGGGAGTGAAAGTGTTCCTTCCTTCAGTTCCTCAATACAAGAACAACTGTCTTTGTTAGCAAAGGATGTTGCAGGATGTGTCCTGGTCATCTCAAGGTTGCATGTCCTTGGGATGAATTGGTCTTTCATTAACAAGGCTATTAGCTGACGTGCGTCTACAGGTGCAGATGGCAGAATTACGTGTGTGTATGGCAAACTGCGTATGTTACATTCCTGTGCTTTTCAATAAAAATCAGCCGTTTCAGCAGAACGGCGAGAGTCTGTCCGAAGCAACTGACGGGAGCAGGTCGCGGGACCTGCTGTATGTTGCAAAGACTCTCCCCCTCATGAGCGGTGAAAACAGTGACTGGACTTCTGATCATTTGTCTCCACATTCTGCCAACTCAAAAGGTGTTTAACTCCATCTTCTCCGTACCCGTGCTTGGTCTAACAGAAGAAAGACCAACAAATTTGGCGTCACGAACAGGATTTTTTCTTTTTGAAGAAAAAGGAGTTTTTGGAGGACAATTTGACCAACCGACCCAGTGAACGATCTTGGCACAGAACACCGCGGTGGAAAACAAGGTGAGCAGAACCTTATTTCTAAAAACTGCTCATTGGATTTATCCAAAGCCTTTGTGTCCAGAATCATAGTAGCTGTGGTCCTAAAATAATAGTTGGAGAAGAAAGTGGAGACAAGTGCAGAAAAATAAGAGATTTTTTTTGTAATGGTTTAATGGTGAAATAAGATAAGGATTTTACAATGGTTTAATGATAAATGAGATAAGGAAATAGTACAGAAGAAGGGTTGGAGGCCCAGGGTTATTAGAGAAGCCCTAA